CCGGTTCTGGTTCTGGTCTGGACTGTCACCATGTTGGAGCGGCTGCAGTCGGCTCTGAAAACGGTCAAGGACTCCAAACGTAAGTCAGCCTCTCTTCTGTTTGGACCCAGTTTGGTTCTGTGCAGTTCACCTGAGCAGCTGTGAGGTTCGTTAGTTGAAGTTGTCTCCTCCTGAACGGAGCAGTTGGTCACGTCCTCTCCAGATCCTGTAAAACCGCTGAGAGCCACTGCTGATCTGTGAACCGGAGTCAGAGTTAAACCAGAACACCTGACTGCTGATCGCAGAGGGACCATCTAACGAAGGCTGGATGAGATGTGACGACTTCAGCACAGACAACAAACAACCACCAAGAGACAGGAAGCTAGACACAAAACAACCACAAAGACCACAAAAATACACAAAGCACCTACAAAAACATGCAAAGAGACACAACAAGACGCAGAACTACGACAAAGACACGTACAATAACGACAAACACAGAAAGAGACACAAAGAGACAGACCATGACAACGAGATGCAAAACTACCGTAATGCTCAGACTAGAAGCCGCTACTTTATTCACACGCTTTGAACGCTGCGGCTTAAACAACGATGCAGCTAAATTATGGATTTTTACAAATTTGCCTCGAGACGTAAGTGACGCTGAGAGCGACAACGACAGAGAAACTGAGGAAGTGACGAAGGAATTCTGAGGCTGAAGAAGACGACTTTAGTGTTTTTAGTGCGGGAGGAAGATGAAGATAGCGATCAGTGACTTTTCCTGGTAGCTGCTGTAGTTTTATTTCCTTAACCAGCCGTGTTACAGAAAAAAGCCTCTACGGTACGTATCTGTGTATGTTACCGCTACGCATTTAATTAAAGGTTAAAACATCTTTCTGTGTAAATATCTCATGTTCCAACGTGGACACCTGCAGCTTAGAGACACCTGCAACCTCTATATGTACACACCTGGTTTCCTGTTTAAAGTTAGCGGCTGCGGCTTATATTCAGGTGCGCTCATAGTCTGGAATTTACGGTACAACAAAACCACAACAGCAGCTACCAAAAAAAAAAAAAAAGAAATCAAAACAACCACAAAGAGAGGCAAATTAACAATGAGATGCAAACTGACACAAAACACAGAGTTACACAGGCTGTAAACTGATGACGTGTTCCCACTGAAGGACACTCAGATGTTTGGACTTTATGAATCTCCTCTGATCATCAGACTCTGCTGTCAGACCTCCGACACTGAACAGGCTTCATGTTCACCACATGTCTGACAGCAGCAGCAGCAGGTCAGGAAACACTCAGACCTCATGGCCGATCGGCTTCGCTATTGATCACGTCGGTTTGTGATCGGTCTTGTAATTAAACTCTGTAAACCAGTTTGTTCCTCCTTCCCTCCTTCCTTTCTGTCTCCTCCCTCCTTCCCTCCTTCCCTCCTCAGCCTTTATCAGCTCTCAGGAATGTCTGAAATATTTTCACCTCATTGAAACTATCCACAGTTATGCCTCTGTGTGTGTGTGTGTGTGTGTGTGTGTGTGTGTGTGTGTGAGGACCACTGTGAGTTTCAGTCAGACATTCTCTTGGGTCCTCATGAACACAGATGATTAAAAAGCGGATTCCTGGGTTCAGCTTCACGTTTTATGTCACTCAGTGTCCTCACAAGCGTAGAACAGTGAGTGTGTGTGTGTCGGTAAGTCGCAGGTCAACACACCTGCTCCGATGCAGAAACACATGACTGCTCAGGATTAAAGGATTATTCCACCAAAATATGAAACGAGTTCACCGAGACACAAACTAAACCAACTGAACAGTTACTCAACAATAATGAGAGGCATTTTAGAAGAGTTCACTCACAAAGAAAGTACATGTTTCTAATATTGAATAGTTTCTACAGTTTCATCAAAAGGTATCTGGATGTTCAACTGCTTTGATAGTTTGATTTAATCGGTTTGTCAACTGGACCAAGAAGCTAACTCATAGCTAACGGGACCTTTAGGCCAACTCATAGCTAACTGGAGCTAGAGGCTAACTCATAGCTAACTGGACCTTTAGGCTAACTCATAGCTAACTGAACCTATAAACTAACTTATAGTTAAGTGGACAGAGTAACTAACTCACAGCTAACTGGACCTAGAGGCTGACTGGTGGCTAACTGGACCTAGAA